GCAAAGCTTAAAATTAATCCATGTTGTAAGCACAACGTTAATAAAAGTAACTAGAAGTAAAGCCAATTAAGACATCCATTTCCAAATCTAAAACACTTAATACATGCGTTCTTAAAACACTCTACCCATAGACTAGGCTAAGCCAAGGTTAATGATCAGCTTCCTATCTTAGTAATCTTACAAGGTGAATCAAGATTAGAAATTTTATAAGGCTGATAAAAAGCAACATGACTGATAAAAAGTACAGTTGAGCACTTTGATCTCTATGTCAATAAACCATGGCACACCCAAGCAGCCTTATTAAATTAAAGAATATCATCAGGGATTCCTGAAAGTATTTCTTTTAATGCAAGGGGTAGGGCAATTTTGACATAATTAACTCACCAATGGGGAACATACAAATCATAAACTATTCTCTATTTACAGTCTAATGTTAGCCCTGTTTATAAAGTATGCTTAGTAACGGAGGGCAGGGCTGGGGCTGAGGCTCAGTGGCGAAGTACCTGCCCAGTATGACCAAGGCTCTGAGTTCAATCCCTAAGACCATGATAAAACAAAAAAGCTAGGCCACGTACTTTAATCCCAGGATTCAGAAAGCTGAGGCAGGAGGACTTAAGGCCATCCTGAGCTACATAAAGATGCTATCCCAGGGGCTGGAAAGATGGCTCAGTGGTTAAGAGAACTGGCTGCTCTTACAGAGAACCTGGGCCTGATTCCTAGCACCCACATGGCAGCTAATAACTATCCATAGCTCCAGTTCCAGAGAAATCCAATGCCCTCTTCTGAACTCTATGAGTACTGCATGACACAGGTGCACTTACATACGTGCAGACAAAACACTCATACACAAAAATAAAAATAATAAAATTTTTTTTTTAAAAAGACTATCCCAGGCTCAGTGGTTCAGAACACTGACTGTTCTTGCAGAAGACCCGGGTTCGAATCCCAGCACCCACATGGCAGCTAACAACTGTCCGTAACGCCAGTCCCAGGGGATCCGACAGCCTCTTCTGACCTCTGCAGGCATTGCATTACACAGGTGCACTTACCTACATGCAGGCAATACACGCATACACATAAAATAAAAATAAATAAAATTTAAAATAAAAAAAGGATATCCCAAATAACAACAACAGTAATAATAATTGAGGGCAGCCTGAAAATTAAAAGATTTTAGCTACACTTTTCTATTGAGGAAAGACTGGACATAATCTGATGTCAGAAAATTAAGAACCATCTCTCTTTCTCCACAGAATGTATTTAGGGGGAAAAATACAAAAGCATTTCTGTTTGTAACTACATATAAACAAGAGTCAAATCAAGGGGTGATTTAGCACTCCTAAAGAATTAGAATTTATTTATTTAATTTTTAAAACTGGAGCTCATGTGACCCAGCCTAGCCTCAACTCATTTTGTAGCTGAGACTGGCCTTGAACTCCCCATTCTCCTACCTCTACCTAACAAATGCTACAATGACAAGAATATGCCACCATGCCTAGCAATTTAATGAGATTTTAAAGATTTTCTTCTCATCCCATGTCTGCTACTATTACAGGCACTAAGGTTCAAAAACTAACCACTTAGTTTCCCTGTATTCTAAAAGAAATTAGAAACAGAAATTGATAAAGGAAAATGGACTTACAGATTGATCAAAATCAGGGAAAGAAAACTATTTTCTCTACTACTTTCCTGCAGCAATGCTATAATTTTATAGGAAAGATGAGATAAAAGCCCAGGAATATGTACATGTTAATTTCACTGTGAGACAGGCTGTCAGAACTGTGTGAAATCTCTTAACAGGAAACAAATCCCTGCTCTGCGGGCACCAGCACTTCAGCCTTCCTCTTCCCATAGCACGGATTCCTGGGGAAATTACAGTTCTTAGGGATCCACTGTTTCAATAGTCTGATAGCCAGCAGTGAGGACACAAGGGTCTCTCTTTTTTAAAGGAAGATTTAGTTTTTAAGTTTTTATTTATGTATGTGGTGTGGGTGTGTGTGCGCGTGTGCGTGTGCGTGTGTGTGTGTGTGTGTGTGTGTGTGTGACACAGACACCAGAAGAGAACATGGGCTCCCTTTGGAACTGGAATTACAGGCAACTGTGAGCCACTGTGTGGGTGTTGGGAATTGAACTCAGGTCCTCTGGAGGAGCAGCAAGTGCTCTTAACCACTAAATCATCTCCCCAGGTCCTACAAGGGTCTTTTTTTAGAATGTCTCCTCCCCAGCCAGGGCTGACACAAGACTACAGTCACACAGCCACATCATCCATTATTCCTTCATAGCAACAAGGGGTCTGGCATCCCTACTGCTGCAAGATTCTGAAGTTTGGGGCAGAGAGAGTCCACAGGGGAGAGGCAGGTCTCCTCAATTTGAAAAGAGCAAGAATTTCCAAGAACTCCTGTCTACTTCAATTTCTCCAGGCTCTCAGATAACTAGAACATATAACCTGACAACCTGGGGCAGGAAGGAACAGAAAGACTAGAGCATCACACTGCTAGACCACAGGCTCGGCAATAAGAGCTGGGTCTTAGGGAAGACAGAGTTAACAGTCTCTGACACAGACGATTACTTCACAGTTTCACAGGAAATTCTAGGGCAGAAAAAGACACAAGCTAACATTTCAAAAGGCTATTTACAATCCTCCATTCTTAATTATAAGAATGCAAGATGTGTATGATCATATTAAAGCTAATTTGAATGCCTCAACAGGTTTCAATATCAAAAAAAAGGCTACAAGTTGATCAATTCTTATTTGATGAAAACTGGGATGATTATGAGGAGAAAGTACCTTTATAATAAAAAAATACATATATAAATTAGATAAATAGGCCTTAAGACTGAGAAGAAACTCATTGAGTCAAATTGTAAGCCTACCTCAACAGAGTTGAACGGACGACAAAATAGCAATTAGTCTGAAAGGTGAATTAAAGCCGTCCAGATACAGTGGAAGCACACATACCTACACAGCTTGTCCTGTTACTGACATCACCTCACACCCTAGAATCTAAGATTTATGGCTTTGGTTTTCAGAAAAACTTAAGAAGCAACATCCTCAGAGAGGTTATTCTACAGCTGTAAAAGTTAAGACAAAGTAGAAAAGGGTCAGAGAAAAAGCAAAAGCAACAGGCAGCAAAACTGGTGAATTATGAGCTTGGAAATCAGGTTTGATGCTCAGTTTAGACACTGGATGACCCTGGCTTATTATCTAAACTCTAAACCTAGTTCCCTCTTCTAAAAGTACAAATAATGAGGTTCTGTGATACTGTACACTCGTGAGCATTTAACAAGGGACCCATCAGGCATGTAGCATAGTGCCTGCAAACACAGTGCTTTAAAAACCTGGAGTGCTTAACCCACCTAAGGGCCATGATTGAGGCGTCTGAGCGGATATAAAGAAGGGTAGGACTATGGCAGAGCTGTAAACACCCTGCAATGTACCGTAAAGAAATGTTCCAAACACCAACAGCATCCTCATTGAGAAACAGACTTCACAGATTAATACTAGCAATATTAAAGTAACAAGCTGACAAGTATCAATGTTTTTAGGATGATAGAGAAAAATAAATTATCAAAACTACATTGACATTTTAAGTATATAACCATCAGAGTCCTTGATCTTATGTGGTATAAGACTAAAGGGGCTTGGCACCGTTTCAAAGTCTACCATGTGTACATACAATCTGAATGTCTGCCACAGACATGCACTCAAAGAGAGCAGGTGAGATGGCTCAGTGGATAAAGGTGCCTGCTGCCAAGCTTAACAACTTGAGTTTGATACCTCAAACCCACGTGGTAGAGAGAATCGACAATTATCCTGTGATCTCCACATGCAAGTGTGTATACACACACACACACACACACACACACGCACACACACACAAAATAAATATTAAAGAAAAAAAGAGGGGAAAAAAGAAATGCACTCAAGGGGTTGAGGTGATGGCTCAGTGGGCAAGTGCTTGCTATGCAAGCTTGAAGATGAGTAGGGGAACATAGGTAGACACCCAGAGCTTGCCACCAGCAATCAAGCCAATTGGTAAGCTCCAGGTTCAGTGACAGGCTGTCCCCCTAAAATGGGTGGACAGCAATAGAAGATATCCAACATCCACCTTGGACCTCTATACGCACATGCACACAGGTGTACCCGCATACACACATATACATGTACACGACACATACAAAAAAATTAGAAATTAAAAAATGTACTCAAGGGCAGGCCTTTAATCCTTAGGAGGCAGAGACAGGTGAATCTGTAATTCTGAGGCCAGCTTGGCCTACACAGTTCCAAATCAGCCAGGGCTACATAGTGAAACCCTGTTTCAAAAAACCAAAAAAGAACTGCATTTAATACAGTCAAATTATAACTAGCAGAGGACAGAATTATAACCCCAAAGTATCTAAAGTCAGCTTTTTTTTTTTCTTTTTGAGACAGGGTCTCCCTGTAGCCCCAGCTGACCTGGAACTCGCTATATAGACCAGGCTGGCCTCAAACTCACAGAGATCCACCTGCCTCTGCCTCCCAAGTGCTAGGATTAAAGGTATGCACCACCACGCCTGGCAGAATTCTTAAAAGGCACATGTAGGCTGCATTTATTTACAAACTGCATGTGCCTGACACCTGCAAGCTTTCTCTTTCACACATGTAACCACCAGTCTGCTGATATGTTGATTCTAAAGAACAAAATCTTTATACGAATTGTATGGCATAAACAGCAGAAAACTGTTTTCTAAAAAAATCTTGATTATCATTTGATGTACATCTTTGAAATTATTTTTAGAATCAAATTATTTCTGTTGCACACAGCCTTCTTTACATAGGGAAACACATTCATGAATGGCACTGCACAAACCAGAGACCAACTACTAACTGCTACAGGAAGTCTACAAAGGCAACACTGGAGCAGCTGGTGTGAAAGAGATTGGAACTCATCCAGAAACTGGGTTTGCACTTTGAGTAACATTAACCAGGAAAACCTTAGCTTCAGGGAAGGAGATCTCACCATTCTGACATGTTCTCATCAGAGCCCTGTTTCTGGTCATCTGCTTCACACTCCATTCTTTCTTTCCTTCCTGTTTTGCTTAAGAAAGTCCTTTCTGCTGATTCACACAGCCCATGGCCTGTTGAGGTCCAAGGAGTATTCTCCTTCCAGCGGGACAAACGTTGCTTCTTAGCAGACTTGAACCTGCAGCCTCTCTCATAGCTCCAGTCTGACACCTTCAGCTTCTGCTGAAGGCTGGCAGCCACCTCTGATGTCACTCTCTTCACCTTACGCCGGCGTCTGAGTGGTCGACAAGGTGCATTTTCAGTAAAGGAGTCTGATTCATGCCAAGAATGTTGCTTACTCTTAATGATAGCATTGAGAGCTGGGTGCCGTTTGGCCACCATTGTGTCATCAGAGTCACTGAAATTGGTGACCGGAGCCACTTCTCGACAGTCCTTGGTGGCCTCATCCAGACTTGACTCAGAGGCCTCACTGAAGCAGCAGGCATGCTCAGCCAGGTGAGTAAAGTCAGACCTGCGCTTCCGACCACGGCGCTTCCGAAGCTGCCGCCTCTGCTGCCGAGGGCTCAGGGCCATCTCCTCCCACAGCTCACCAAGTTTATTCTGCTCAGATGTCTGCTCCAAGGCTGAGGCTAAGTCATGTACCAGCTCATCCATGAGGCCACATCTGCCCAAAAAAAAGAAGCCTGAATAGGACCTGTTGTTTTCCAGTAATTTTATAAAGCACATAATGGCACCATGGCACCTTGCCTGTCTATAGAAAATAAGGCACTTTTCATCTAGCTGGACTTAACACTCTGTTCCTGCCATCCACATACCACCAAGCCACTAAAAATAGGTGTTTGGCCCTTGTTAAATACTTGAAGTCAACATGTACAACAGCTCAACAGATGACAATTGGATATTAGCAAAAACAAGCAAACAAATGCAGAATGGAACTTCCCCTTTCCTCCAGTTAAACTTGTTCCTCAATTATCAGATGATGAGCTCCAAAAAGATTAGAAAATGTCTCATCAGACAAGAATAGAAAATCATACACCTTCAGCACCATGGCGGCTAGGGGAACACATGATAGGATCCAGTCACAAGAGGGTATTGAGAATGGATGAAGGCTGCTCTGTGGTCTGGGACCCCTGCCAAAAGCGCTTGTGGCAGGGAAAAGAGCAAGCACAGTGACACCTATAAGGAAGAGTCTGCAGTATGTCCAAGAATCTGTCAGAACAGAAAAAAGAGTCCACATTGGTTAACCAACTGCCACCTACAAGTTACTGAAGAATGTTGTAGAATATGACACTGACACTGATTTTGCTAATAGGAACTTCTAGACTCCTAATCCTGATCACCCCGATTACATGTTTTAGTGCCCATCACACAAAAAACAGGACATAAATGAAACTGAAATGGCAGGGGTGGGGTGGAGTCTCTAAGATTTCTGGCTAATTGCTTCCCAATTTTTCCTATTTTTCTACTCATTCTCATCAAAACAAAACCCTTTAAAGGAGTGAGAATATCAGCAATTTTCAAAATTTCATTTTCAAAATAAATATCTAACATCATCTATACAACACCTAACTAAATATATACTAAATTAGCACTTTCTCCACAGCCTTTGTTAAGCCCAAAGGACCTCTAGACCATAATTAGAGCTTAAAGTTCTGAGCCACCACTCTCAGACCGTATTTCAGGTCACACAGTTTACACTAAAGGCTCTCTAAAAACCTATTCCCAGAGTTCCTATGTCAACAAATACAAAGGCAAGAAACGTCTTCTGACTTATGTGTCACATCTGTGGGAGCAACGGGGACGCCTAGTTCCAAGACTACCATCCAAACAAAATTCAAAGTACCAAAAGCTATACACATAAAAAGACCACTTCCTTTTAAGCAGTAAAAGGTAGGTTAAGACGCCAGGACTGGGGTTTGGACTAAAACAGATAAACAACGGGAACAGCAGTTCTTCTTTCCTAATGAAAAACTACACCTTTAAAAACTAGGGCAGAACCACAAACTTTAAAGTGGGATGACAATGCTGGCGCAGCATCCTTTACTGTCTCAACCGTGACAGAGGAACCCTGGCCCCAGAGCTCCAAGTGTCACCCTAGACGACCAGGTCCAGACTAAGACAGTCGCTGTCAAGCACAGGACGCTGGTGGGCAGCAAGCCACAGAGCCAGTCGTGGGGTCAGAGTGACGGGAGGGGGGCAGCCAAGGAGCAGCTTCCCATGTGCAGTCAGCCGAGACCGGGGGTCAGCGGTCTAGGGAAGAAACTGGCTAACACCCTGTCCTGATGACCCGGTTCCCTCTGCGATCGGGGCGGGGAGGGGTGTCACAGCACGGCCACTGAGGTGGGAAAAGCCAGTTTCGGGGGACTCCGGACCATGCCCAGCCCGCCCCCAGGGCTAGGACGAACACCGCTCGGGTACCAAATGAGCGCTCGCGCTGTCGCGGGCCCAAGAGAGCCGGAAGGGAGAGGGCGGAGGGGACTGAGCGCGAAGGCCGCCCGACCCTCAGCGCCGGGCGGGGGAGAGACGCACCCTCGGCAGCAAGGCCCCACCGCCCCCGTGCTCTCGCCGCAGCCCCGCAGCGCCCAGGGCCGCCCCGCCGCAACCCTGGGCCCTGGCCCGGCCCTCGCAGACAACCCTGCCCCTCACCGGCTGCCGCAGCCACCTCCACCCGGCGCTGCCTTCGGGGCCGAATCTCCCAGCCCGGGTTTCCCTCTCTGACTTCATTTCCGGTCTGGGCCGGAGGGGTGGGGCAGCAACGGAGCGGGAGGGGCTGACCGCTCAAAATGACCCGCCTCAGCCTTGCACTTCCGCCCCGTGGCGCGCCCACTTCCGTTCTGAGGTGGGCGGGGCCATGGGGAAGCCGGGAGGTGGGGCTGGAGGCGTGGAAAGGCAGTATGGAGCTGCTAGGCTCTTCCTGGGGCTGAACTACCATCCCGGGAACACCTTCCCTTGGCGCGCTAGGGTTGAGAACTGGGCTCCCTGCCTTCGCATAAGTGACTCAGAACATTAAAAATGCACATGCCTTGGGCAAAAGGAAAGTAATATAGTATAACTCAAAGTATGAAACATTCGGGATCATGAGTGGAAAAGCTAATAAATGGAGAAGAAATCACCCTCTCACAGAGGACAGATGCTGTCTTCAGGGGTAACCTTTATTTCCTCATAAGCATTGTGAGCTGTGCATAGCGACTTCTTTCGGAATAATACAGGGAGCAGAATGGAGTATTACAGTGGGGAAATCTGTTGATAGTGTGTGACCTTAATGTGTAGTGAGAATAACGTTTTATGGTTCTTTGCTTCTCAAACTCATAACCCGAGTCTAATCTCAAGAAAAAGAAGAAAATCAGACAAACCATAGTTGAAGAACCGTCTACAGAGTACCTGACCAGTATTCCTCAAAATTGTTAAGGTCATCAAAGAGAAGGAAAAAAACTGTCTAAGAAACTGTCACAGTTTAGAGGGGCCTAAGGAGAGACATGACAGGTAGATAGGTTATATACTGGGTAGGATTCTGGAATAGAAAAAGGTGATTAGATAAAAAAATCTGAATACAGAATATACTTTAGTTAATAATAATATATTAAAAGTTGATTAATAACCTGGGTGTGATGGACATGCCTATAATCCTAGCACTTGGGAGGTCAAGGCAGAAGGATTGCTAGTTTGAGGCCAACCTGAGCTACGTAGCAAGTTCTAGACCAGCCTTGAATTACATAACAAGACCTTGTGTCAAAAAAAGTTTTTTTATTAATGGTGATAAATATGCTATAAAATGTAAGATGTAATAAGGGAAACTGAGTGTGAGTTATAATAGAAACTGTAGAATCTTCATAATTTTTCTCTAAACCTAAAATTATTCCTAAATAAAAATATTATTTTTTAAAAATGAATATAGATTTTTGCTCAGAAATAATTCTAAGAATTTTATTCTAAGGAAAAATTGAAAAGAATGCAAAAATGTTAAATACGAGTAAATTCACTTCTACAGCATTCATTGCAAAAGAGGGGTAATGCTCCTGGCTAGAAATAGGGGTGTACAACAGAGGTTAGCTAATGAAACTGTGGTACATCTATGAGACAGAGTCCTTGAAGGCTTTCAGAATTGATGTTATGAGACTAGGACTGTCCTCAGTGGTAAGGCATATGTGTAATATGCACAAGGCCCTGAATTCCATCCCCAGTACAGAAAAAATAAAGTTGATGCTGTAGAAGAATAATGACATGAAAAGTTACTGGTTTGTGACTATATATTTCTGTATGATAATTATATTTGAATAAAAAGATGACTCTAAAAAGGTACAGCTTGACTCTTCATATATAAAAGAAATTAGAAGGCTAGACATGGTGGTACATGCCTGTAGTCTCAGCACCAGAAGGTAAATCTCTGTGAGTTTGAGGCCAGCCTGATCTACACAGAGAATTTCAGGCCAGCCAGGGCTATACAGTGGGACCCTGTCTGAAAAAAGAAAGGAAAGAAGGGAGGGAAGGGAAGGAGGGAGGGAGGGAGAGAGAGCGGGGGAGGGAGGGAGGGAGGAAAGAGAGAGGGAAAAAAGGGGACCAGAATATTATACTCTGCAACATCCAAAATAGTTCTGTTTTAATGCCTATATCCCCAGTCTGTTGTTTTATGGATTTTCAGAATTTTCTGTAGATTAACTATCTGTGTAAAGAGTTAGAGGAGTAGAGACTGAAGAAATGGCTAAGTGGGTAAAGTGCTTGCTGCACAAGTATGAGTTCAGGTCCCCAGCTCTCAAGTAACAAGCTCAGTGTAGTGGCTTGCTCCTATAATCTCAGTGCTGGGAGGCAAGACAAAAGGACCAGCCTGTGAAGCCACCCAGTGAGACCAAGGTCCAGCAAAAGACAAGGTGGAGAACCATAAAGGAAGATACCCTCTGCAAAGAGAGAGAGAGAGAGAGAGAGAGAGAGAGCAGAGACTGATCGGCAAGGGAAGCCAAAAAGAGAAATGGGTTGGTAGGAAAGTGATTCATTCTGTTTTGAACTTGATGAATTTGTGACTCCCACAGGACAAGAAATATGGAAATATTCACGAGGTGTTCACAGCCATCACAGTTCTGTTCTGCTTAAGTGAAAATTCTCTCCCACGGGTCACATCAGTTCCTGGAGTGTCAGTTTCCTTTGTCGACACTGAAATCTCCCAAATGTCTTAAATTTAGCTTCATTTTCTGCTTTCTGTCAGATGTCACTATGTACACATGCCACCAGCATCTATAATTTAAGATGTCAATATAAAGCTTAGTTTCTTTAAGAGTCCCTATCAAATTGGCCCCTTCTCCTCTGTTCCCTGTTTGGGGAATGTCACTGCTACCATGTAGTCATCCAGGCCAGAAACTTCAAAACTATTTCATTCTTCCTTCTATCTAGCCTGAAATTTAGCTAAATGTAGGGATGCCACACCTCTTGCACCCATCCTTCCTCTTTTGCTTCCTCTCTGCCATTGGCCTGGAGACAGGCAACCACTGCCAGATGATGCAACAACAACCCTATTGATCCTCCCACTTATAGTCACTCCTCCAGAGAAGCCATCCTTTGCTCTGGCACTGCAGTGAACTTCCTAGAACACAATTTGGATCATGTCACTTCATCCATGGCCTGCTGTCCCCCGTATCACACTTGAGCAGAGCTTACCACTAGCTTCTTCTGGATTTGGAGTGATTTAAGGCTCAATGCCAAAGTCACCTCTATGAAGACTTCCCTTTGCCTCTCTCTCTCTCTCTCTCTCTCTCTCTCTCTCTCTCTCTCTCTCTCTCTCTCTCTCTCTCTCTCTCTCTCTCTCTCTCTCTCTCTCTCTCTCTCTCTCTCTCTCTCTCTCTCTCTCTCTCTCTCTCTCTCTCTCTCTCTCTCTCTCTCTCTCTCTCTCTCTCTCTCTCTCTCTCTCTCTCTCTCTCTCTCTCTCTCTCTCTCTCTCTCTCTCTCTCTCTCTCTCTCTCTCTCTCTCTCTCTCTCTCTCTCTCTCTCTCTCTCTCTCTCTCTCTCTCTCTCTCTCTCTCTCTCTCTCTCTCTCTCTGACTTGCCAGAATATTACAGCACTTTCTTCATTCAACCTTGAATTAGAGGCAATTAAGTGCAAGTTGGCCTCCCCAACTTAATCACCCAGCAAGCAAATATTTACTGAGCACCCACAACATCCCTGGCCCCATGCTAAGCTCTAGAGATAAGACTATGTAAACAAAACAGAGCCTCCTCCATTGCCCAGAGGCCCAGCCCTATTCATCATCTTACTAGACCTGGCTCAGAGCTGTGTACATGGCAAGTGCTTGATAGATTAAAAAATTAAATAAGTATTTGTTTACTAAATGCTGGATCAGGAAATTAGAAGCACTTGTGGAAATCCTAAGAGGAAAATTTAATGAAATCTCCATCTTTGTGTGAAGATGAAAGCCATGAACAGAACTTCACAAGAAAAAGACTGAAGAGGTAGCTCAGAGGGTAGAGTTTTTGCCTAGCATGCATGAAGTCCTGGATTCAGTCTCCAGCACTGCATAAAACTGGGTGGAATAGCAAATGCCTGCAATCCCAGCACTCAGGAGATGTCAGCAAGAGGATTAGAAGTTCAAGGTCACCCTCAGCTACGTAGTAAGTTTGAGAGCAGCTTGGGATTCATGAGACTGTGTTATTAAATGAATAGGAGGTGTTTGACCAGTAGGGTTTTGTTAGTTAGCTGAGTAACACACAAAGGAACTTCCTCCAAAAGGACCAGTGTCTACAAGATAGAGGAAGAAGAACTTGAAGAAAAAAGAGTGAAAGGATAATTGGGGATAAGCAGTTCTAAGGAAAGATCACATCTGACAACTGAGACAGCTGCCGACAGTAATGCATTTGCGGGAGAGAGAAATGGAAGAGTGATTTTCCATCCTAGCTGTATCTGTAGCTGGTTTTTTTGAGCCTTTACTTCCTCATCCGTAATATGGTTCCATCTCTGTCTTGGATGGAGATAAAATAGCACATGTAGAGCGTTTAACAGGGAGCCCACACACAAATAGTCATCATTCAGATTTGAAATGTGTGATAGTTTTGTCAACTTGACACAACCTAGAATCACCTGGAAAGAGAGTCTCAATGAAGGAGTATACATCAGATTGGCCTGTGGGAACGTCTATGGGTATTAGCTTGGATTATCTTGATTGTGTTCATTGAGATGAGAAGAACTTCCCACTGTGAGTGGCACCATTCCCTAGGCAAGGGATCCTGAACTGTACCAGTGCAGAAAGCAGCTGGACACATGCACTCATTCCCTCCCTGCTCTGGACTGTGGATATAACTAGCTGCTTCAAGTTCCTGCTGCCTTTGACTGCCTCACAATGATGGACCATGACCTAAAATTGTAAACTAAATTAACCCTTTCTCCCTTAAGTTGCTTTTGTCAGGATAGTTTATCTTAGCAACAGGAAAGGAAACTAAGACAGAATGTCCCCCAAAAGCCCCAAAAGTTCATGTGGTGAAGGCTTGGTCCCCAATTAATGGCACTTGGAGGAGGTGGTGGAAACTTTAGGAGGTGAGGAGTGGGAGAAAGTAGGCTACTAGGAGGTGCCTTGAAGGAACTATCTCATGCTTGGGCCCTTTCTGCACTCTCTCCCTCTTCCTCCTGTCTGCCAGAAGGTAAGCCACTCGGTTGCACCATGTGTGCTCTGCCATACTGCTCTGCCTCACTATAGGCCCTGAAAAATCAAGCTAGTCAACCATGGACTAAAACCTTTGAAACTGTGAGTCAAAATAAATCTTTCCTCCTTTCA